TGTTGAGACAACAGTAAATAAATATAAAGAATCAGGTGTATGGTACTACTTAAGTGCAGCAAAAGGGTTGATCCCCAAGTTTTGGCGGAAGACAGAGGTGCCGATGGAGGAGGATTGGATCAATAGGGTAAACCAGATTAGCAGAATGGAAAAATCTTATCATATGCAGGAAGACAGGATGAAAATATACTATTCACGATGGGAAAAATGGGAAAAATCGGGATTGAAAGAGAAATATAGAAAACCCTAACTAGGAAGCTATTCGAAGTTACTGGGCCTAGAGAGACTGGAGATCTTGCAGAGGGGAGGGAGGGGGGGAAGGGGGGAAATGGTGGGTTGGGAGGGAAGGGAAATAAAAGAGGTAAATAGAAGGGACAGAGTAGAAATGTATTGATATTTATATGTATTGTGTCTCTTCTTATGGAAATTTTGTAATAATGTGAAAAATTAATAAATATTTAAATTAAAAAAAAAAAAAAAAAAAAAATATACACTTACTGGGGATTGTTTTCCAAAGACATGTAGTGGAATACATTTTGGCCTAAATTTATGAAGAAATGTGATTTGATCAGATATTTTTAATAACAGAAAGTAGAAAATATTGTTTTTTTTTTAATGTTGGTCTTTTTTCATTTATATGTAGCGCTACCCCCTCAAGAGTCGCTGAGTATTTTGGGTTCCCTGTTCACTTCTGAGCCCTGGCTGCTGCACAACCCCTGCTGACACCATTGTAATACCTTGGTCAGGTGTCCCCCTGGCTATAACACACAATAATCACATAGCATTGAATGAATAGTAAATCAGTCTGTATTAGAGTCAGATTAGCAGCAATATACACATGAAGAATCGACTGATGTGAGAAACTATGAACCGTTCAGGAGAAATAAACAACAGAGTACAGCACAATACCACATTAAATAGACCAAATTGTCCTCCAGGACTCAGAGTTTAATTGTTTCTCTCCTACCCAGAGAACTTTCCCCAAACAGGCAGAAAAGGGGAGATTAGGAATGTTAGGCTCGCTCCCTTGTGGGCTCCCAGTAAACAGAACCAGTGCTTAACTCTCTGAGGGTTTCAACAAGCAGAAAGTCCCATATAAACCCCATCACCCAATGCAGGAAAGACTCTTCTGCTGGCTTTGGTGGAGCTCTTTACGTTGGTGCACAGTGGAGGGGTCATCCCTTTTCTTCATGAGAAAATGTCCCTTCCCTGGTGATGAGGACACAGCAAGCAGAGTTCCCCTTCAATAAAGGCAGCAATCTAGGAGTTTACTTGGGTATGGAGGTTACTCAAACTGAGGAGGGTGAGAGCAGACTTCAGCAGAAGTATGTCCCTTTAGTGTGAGACTTGGCTGGTGGAACTTTGTGTAGAACAGGCCGGAGGTAATATGATTTTACTTTTTCCAGTTCCTGCCAATCAGGCAACAGAATCTATTAGGGCTGATATACTGTGTGTGATACTTCAATGGGCTTCTGGTGTAGATAGGCCGCAGCACTGATTGGGCTACAGAGACTGTGTCTCTATGTGGCAGTCTGCATTGTAAGTATCCTGGACTTAAGTAACCGGCAACAACAACTATGGAACCTGTATCACATGGTGGTGTGCTATGGGTTAGGAACTCTCTCACCAGTCCTTCAAAGTAGTGGTGTGAAATGATGTCCTTGTTGCTGGGGGGCCCCTTTTCTGGCTGTCTTCCCATGGAGATAGTGGTGCCGATGCAGATGACTCAATCCACCTACATGCAGGATTGACTATCCTGCCTCTCAGTACGATCAACAATCTGGAAATTCCCTTCTCCGTCCTCCAATTCAGTCTGATCCAGCCTGAGGCCTCCTGGATCGGCACTCTGTTCTCACACACGCACCCTGCCTCTCTTCTCCTCTCCTGGGCTTTTCTCCTTTTATACGCTCCAGACCCTTTACTCACTCACTTGGGATCTGTAGTTCTATGTCAGCTGAACTGAATGAAGAAATCCTGCTTGCAGCATACAAGTCCCAGCATTCTCAGCGTTGCTGTACAATTTCCTGTGTCAGCTGAATTGCAGAGCACAGCCATCTTGTGGCCATTTAACAATCTGCAATTAGTAACAATGCAGTGTGTTACATACATAAAAAAACCCCCAGTGGTGATCAAATACCACCAAAAGAAAGCTTCATTTGTGTGTGAAAAAATTATATCAATTGCATTTGGGTTCAGTGTTGCATGACCGAGCAATTTGCCGTTAAAGTAGTTCAGTGCTGAACAGCAAAAAAATAATCTGGTCATATAGAGGTAATACCTTCTGGAGGTCAAGTGGTTAAACTGTGTGTTAGGTTCTTTACTGTTAGAGCGGTAAGCATGTGGAACTCCCTTCCACAGTTGGAGTGTCAGCGGGGAGTGTAGATACATTCACAAACCTTTCTTAGGGAACACAATGTAAAGGGATATGGAAGAGGATGGTGCCATAGACACGCAGATACACACACTGCGGCTGAACTGGAGGGACGGGTGTCTTTAGTCAACCTTACCGACTATGTAACCATTTATCATTCCTTGTCTGCAGATCTAAAACTCATCAAAACCAGTTCAGAGACAAAACAAACCCAACAGAGAAAAGGGGATTTCTTATCCGGCAGACCAAGAGAGTTCTGGGGTCTAAACACTAAACAGTCTAAAGTAAACGTGTTTCCCGTGGGGGGCGGTAGTACTTAAGGTATAACTAAAGGTAAAACTTTTTTTTTTAGGTTTAGATTAGAGAGGAATTAGAGCATCTGTCAGTTTTTATTGCGGTTTCTGCCCCCATTTGTCCCGGTGACCATTATAACCAAGAGTGAAAGAGCCCCAAATTTTGGGTTGACATCAGAACACTAATAGAGGGTATATCGTCCAATGAGGAAACTAGTTCTGGTGACACCAGAATTCCCTCACTTTTGGTGGGGATTTCCTCTCACTTGTTTTGGCTATGGGACAGGAAGTGAAGGGAAATATCCCCAATGGGACACAGATGGCAAAAACAACTGACAGAGGTTATAACCCTCCCTTACTCTATCCAAAATGAAACAAGTGGTTGTCCAGCAACCCTCCTATTCCCCCCTCACATCCAGATCCTATTATTGTGTGACCATACCATCCAAATCATTCTTACTTTCATTTCCCAAAGTTATCCGTCTACAAGGAGACCTGTATAGATCACATGATGGCACCAATGAGGATGGAGGAGGACCGGAGTCACATGACTGAGAAGATACTAAACCTCACCCTGGAGATCATCTACCTGCTGACCGGAGAGGTGAGGAGGATTCTGGGAGGTCACATGACATCACTCTTATCTCTATTAATAAAACACAGACCTGACCGGAGAGGTGAGGAGGATTCTGGGAGGTCACATGACATCACTCTTATCTCTATTAATAAAAACACAGACCTGACCGGAGAGGTGAGGAGGATTCTGGGAGTCTAACATGATATTCCTATTGGTTCCTCAGAGATTTCCTCTTCTGAAGTCAAGTGATCATATGACCATCACAGTGCCTCCATGTGACTCCCTAAACCCTGAGAGACACAACATGCAGAAGATTCTAGAAGTCACCAAGAAGATGATGGAGCTGCTGACAGGAGAGGTGAGCGGTGCCGGGAATTCTGGGACATTCTCCAGTAACATTCCCACATGGACAGGGGTTGAGAGAGAGAGCTGGTTCTGTTCCTCCTCCTCCCTCCCTCTCCTCCTGTGCCTGCCTCACCTACACCCCCGGCAGTGTTGTGCCTCAGAGATGGAGATATGTGGGTGGAAAGTTTTCTTTTTCTACATTCTGCAGAGGATTACACTGGGCTGCTCAGTCTAAAATGCCTGGGACAATTTTTTTGGCCCAGTCTGGGCCTGGCTGGTGGGATGGAGCATCTATAAGATGGACTGTAGAGACAATGTGTGGATTTTGTGTGTGATGTCACAATCATAAAGCTCATATTTTACAGATGATATTTTCTCTCATTTCCTTGATTTAGAGTGGAGATCCAATCGATATAGAATTTGAGGTGAAAGCAGAAGAAGAAGAGGCGTATGTGAGGGATGATCAGCAGTCTATGGAGGAGGATGGAATAACGGGGACATTTATAGAGGAGGACACTCCTACAGAGATCAGCACAGGTGGGTCATGAACACTAAATCCATTCCTCCACCCATACTGCTCACTGATTGGTCCAGAGTAGGGCGGGGACTGGGTGATATCAGCCTGTAATCCCCTGGTCACTTTCCTGAGCTGTGTTCCCCGTCCTGTATTCCTGGATTTCTCTTGGATAATCTTCCTTCTCTGTGCTGCAGACACAATTTATGTATCAGTTCTGGTTGTTTCCTCACTCTCTGACCTCTGGTGGGGCTCAGCCCCGCTGTTCTTCATGACTAAATCATGGAGTAAATAAGGAAGTGCAGTACTTCTTGTGTTGGGAAGATGGCGATGAGTGATAGAGGGGGTGGGGACCCTCGTCCTATAATCCCCTCATCACTGTCCCTCCTATAAAAGACAGTTCTGGTTGTTTCCTCACTCTCTGACTAAGGTCCATGAATAAAGAAATGACCTGGTAGGAGATCAGGAATTGTAAGCTCCTCAGAGACCAAGCTGCCTGATGTGGGCGGAGTCCTGGTTTGGGGGAACCAATCAGCTCCTGTCTAGTAATCCTCTTTGTCTTTGTATTTTAGTCCATGGCCGGGAGATGAGGAAAACCTCCGAGGATTGTCTCACTTTGTCTCCAGACTGGAAAGTAGAAGATGAGGACATCACACAGTATAGTCCAGGAGAAAACCCGGCTCCCTCCAATGTCCATCCGGCACCACCCAGTGTAGATGGACCATCGGATTCCTCGTATCCTGAGGAACCTCAGACTGTGCGGGACCGGGCCGGCCTTCCAACAGAGAAGAGCTTCTCCTGTACTGAGTGCGGGAAATGTTTCCGTTTCTAAATCCATCTTAATGTGCATAAAAGATCTCACACAGGGGAGAAGCCATATTCCTGTCCTGAGTGTGGGAAATGTTTTTCACAAATCCCATCTTTACACACAAAAGATCTCACACGGGGGAAAAGCCATATTCCTGTCCTGAGTGTGGGAAATGTTTTTCACAAAAATCCAGTCTTTACACACATCAGAGATCTCACACGGGGGAAAATATATTCCTGTCTGAGTGCGGGAAATGTTTTTTCAAGAAGTCCATCTTTACAGACATCAGAGATCTCACACGGGGGGAAAAGCCATTTTCCTGTCCTGAGTGCGGGAAATGTTTTTCACACAGAAGTCCAATCTTTACACATCAGAGATCTCACACGGGGGAGAAGCCGTATTCCTGTCCTGAGTGCGGGAAATGCTTTTCAGAGAAGTCTAGTCTTTACAAACATCAGAGATCTCACACGGGGGGAAAGCCGTATTCCTGTCCTGAGTGCGGGAAATGTTTTTCAGAGAAGTCCAGTCTTTCTAAACATCAGAGATCTCACACGGGGGAGTAGCCACTTTCCTGTCTCAGTGTGGTAAATGTTTTTCACACAGAAGTCTGATCTGTACACACATCAGAGATCTCACACAGGGGGGAAAAGCTGTATTCCTGTTCTGTGTGTGCGGGAAATGTTTCATATATAAATCAGCACTTGTTACACATCAGAGATGTCACACGGGGGGGGAGAAGCCGTATTCCTATCCTGAGTTTGGGAAATGTTTTTCAAGGAGCTTCAATCTTTCCAGGCATAAGAAATCTCACACGGAGAGGAGAAGCCACTTTTTTGTCCTGAGTGAGGGAAATGTTCCTCACTGAAGTCCTGTCTTCCTGTACATCAGGGGTCCCACACAACCCTGGAGGTGTATTAGTGCCTTGAGTGTGGGAAATGTCTTCTAGATGAATGTTGCTGGACATCCCAGCTCTCATGTGGGGAAGAAGCACACCCTGATATACACCTCAGATATACTCCATGGCTGATCTTCATCATGGAAGAAACAGTTCATAAGGAGATCAGAGTCCCCAAAGACATGGATGAAGTGTGGGACCGGGGTTGGCCATTGATGGCAGGAGAAGAATAACAATGGAGTCCTGCCCTGTGATTGGCTGAGTCTATAAATTGTTGAATGAATGGACCGTCATTCACCCAGACGTGACCAGTTTGGTCCATACTTGAAGGAGAAGTTCCCCTTTTTGGGCAGAATTTCCCTCCCATAATACACAGAAGCGTTCTCTGATGCCGTCTCTGGCCCGGCCGTCCCGATGGGCTTTCCTCTCCCCTCATCCACAGGACCATCACTTGTCTGTCAGTTTATTGGATCGTTGGAACGGATTTTCAGATTGCATCATTTCCTGTCCATGATATCTCAGCATTCACTTCCTGTAGGCCACTTCCCAGAAGCCTTCACTTCCTTGTTGCATCACAGAAGGGGGTGTGACAGGGCGTGTTCACCGCTCGGGACCACACCTCCCTCATTATAATACCTTCCTATACAATCTGATTGGACAATCTCCTCTAGATCTCCCCCCAGCTATGTAGTACAAGGGCAGACAAAGTCCAGGGTATGGAATGTGTGACAATTTATATTGGGAACTTGTGAGGCCTGGGGGCTGCAAATGCATTAAGATGTACCGAGGGTTCCGGGGGGAGAGCGCAGATTAGTAACGTTTGTAACCGTTTTAGGATCACCCAAAAGAGGACAGAGAGGCAAGTGAGGGGATATGAAGTTGCTGGAATATTTATCAGAGTTCCAGGTGCAGAGTGTGTGACCCATCAAGAGGCTGATAGACGTAGGTCTGGATTTAGGAGGAGGACTCCATGGGAGTGAATGGTGAGAAGTTTGAGAACAGAGCAATGCTTCTAAGTCAGCCCATAAGGAGCCATGTATTGTGGTGTAAAGGGGGGTTAGTGGGGTAATCTGGGCACCAAGAAATATTTAGTAACATTTGGAACACCCAAACCTCCTTGTTCCTTATGTATATACATAGCATGTCTTGGGATTCGTGGCCCTTTGTCTGCTCAGTTGAATCACAAGACCTGATTTTAAAAAGATTTCAGAGTATAGGAGGAGATGGGGATCGGTGGGGGTGGGGGTGGGGATGGGGAAGAGTACAGGACAAGTAAAGGAGTTTTGGTAAAATTGCCAATTTTCCATCACTGATCCTCCCTATCCAGGAGAGGTGAAGATGAGTCCAGGACAGAAGTAGGACTCTCAAGTATTTGAAAGTGGGGATGTAGTTGGCCTCATGGAGTGTGTTGTACGAGCGAGGGAGATGAATGCCCAAATAATCCAGGTAGGAGGTGGGCCAAGGAAACTATCATTCTGTTTTACAGAGGAAAGGGAAATGTATGGAGTACAGAGAATAGGACTGGCAGGGAGGTGTTGGGTTGGACCAAAGTAAGTAAAAGATCATCAGCAAACAATCTGACTTTACCCAGTTCAGGACCGACCACCACACTTATACTGCGGCAGGGCAGCCCCTCTGTTCCAGATCACATACAGTACATGTACACGTGTGAGCCCACCGCCCTGACTGTGCTGTCATTCAGTAGTACAGCACAAGCCGATTATCAGGTCCAGGACAATGTTTCCTGGACCTGCTGATCACCTGGACCTGCTGATCACCTTCTGCTGATCAACACAAGCCGATTATCAGGTCCAGGCCAATGATTTCTGCACCTGATCACCTGACCTGCTGATCACCTGGACCTGCTGATCACCTCACCTGATACCTGGACCTGCTGATCATTCTGTGAATCAGAGATCTTCCTTTGTCCATATTTATAAACACAGGAACTGGAAAGGTACACTAGTGAAGAGGAGCACAAATAATACAAAGTATTCCCACAAGCAGCTAAAAAAAAGGTGATCAATAATCAATAAACCAACTTAACAGTGAATTCAACTAAAACAATGCTGCCCACACCTAAACATACTCATATAAATGTGCAAAAATGTCAACAAATAGAAATACAGCGCCTGTGCTTTCCTTAACCACTTTAAGTCCCCCTATATAGAAATACTGCCACAGGGCGGACTCCCTGCACAAAATCATGTGTATATGTATATATATGTATGTGATTTGCGCTCCCGCAGTTGCCAGGGGGGCACATGTGCACACGCCAACCTGCCGTTGCCGTGATTCAGTTCCTGACCGATCAATCATCATGTTCAGGCCAGTGATGTTCGGATCTGATGATCGATCCCTGCCCTATCAGAGATCTTCCTGTACCTGTGTTTCCATTACACAGGTACAGGAAATGATGACATCTTCTCTCTCTGAGCACATTCCGTCCCAGAGAGAGAAGAAAGCAGATCCATGTGAGTAAAAGCACTACACACACAGTAAAATCACATTTAGGACACATTTAACCCCTTGATCCCCCCCAGTTAACCCTTTGCTGCCCTGTCACCAGTGTCATTAGTACAGTGTACAGGTTTTTTGCTGATCACTGTATTAGTGTCACCAGCGACTTTTCAGATAGCATTAGTGTCAGTTAGCATCCCTCCCAGATGGCGTCAGATTGCCCGTCACTACATCAGTCATCACATTTAACCCCTTGATTGTCAGGAACACGCTCATACACAATAAACCTCCTATTGCTAGTATAGTGTCTGAGCTGATCAATATCTTTTTGATCAGAAATATGCCAGCGTTCACATTAGTATAGCGTCCCCAAAAATGCAGCATTAGCGGGATCAGCCCGAGCACCCTGCCAGCACCTGCGTTTAGCCCCTACGCTTAACCCCCCACAAAATCCCCCAGCAAGTGCAGTGTCAGTAGGTCACTGTCACAGGATACATTGCACACAAAAACCGCAGTGTTGGCAGAATCAGGCCTGCTGCTGATCTCAAAATTTTTTTGAGTGGTTCCAGCAGTCCCTGACAGCCAGGCACTCTTTTTCCTATGAATTGCACTAGGTACCTATAAATTTAGTGTCCAACGAAAGGTACTCCAGTGAAGAGGCCTACAGGATTCTGAGCATATCAGATGAGAGTGAAGGGGAAGACTCCTGACACAATCAGCCACAGAATATGAACCTGTAGACAACAGCGGCACCCTGACAGATCGCTCAGATGATGGAGAAGAGGTCCCTGCTAAGGTCAGGTGTACCCAACCCCATTCCCAGGGTGCTGAGGTGTTACAATCGCATGATGACTCTCATATGCAGCAGAGTGCCGCATGAATGGCGATCACCAGCGGCCTAGTACATCCTGGTCTTTCACATACCAGCACTGCAGTATCACTTGGTGACATGGTGAGTCCCATAAGTGCAGTACAAGCTGGTGCGGTGGTGGTGAGTACAAGTAGTGTCCTGAAGCCACCAAAACTTCACACACAGGCCCGTAGAGCCCCTAGTATCCTTCCGGGTATGCTTGCCGATTGGCAGCCCACAAATTCTGCAGCTCCCGTACTTCCCCCATTCACTGCCCAACCCAGAATTCAGGTGGAAACAGCAAATTTAACTCCTCCCCTTGATTTTTTGGAGCTGTTTTTCACGGAAGATCTGTATGAATTGATTGCGGATCAAAGCATTTTATATGCACAACAGTTTATCACCACCAACCCGAATTCAAACCTTGCCAGACTGTTTGCATGGAAACCTATTATAGTTTCTGAATTTAAGGTTTTTTTGGGCCTAACCCTCAACATGGGCATTACTAAGGAAAATTAATTGTGGTTGTATTGGTCCACAGACCCGATTCATCATATGCCGTGTTCTCTGCTGCCATGGCCAGGCGTAGATATGAGAGTATAATGTGTTTATGCATTTCAATGACAATACAATCTGTCATCCTCGGGGTGACCCTGAATTTGAGCGGCTCCACAAAATTCATCCCCTTGTAAATCACCTTAACCAAAAATCTGCAGATGTCTATACTCCCACCAAAAAAATCTGCGTTGATGAGTCCCTCATTAATTTTTTAGGCCACCTTGCATTCAAACTATTTCTCCCCAATAAGCTGGCCAGATATGGGGTCAAACCTGTATATCAGACCTGTGATTTGGGGGGGGGGGTTGGTGCTATCCTGGTATTTCAGGGCATCCGAAACTGTGAAAGGTAGTGAGGAAGTGAAATGAGGAAATTATGCCTTTCAAAGTGGTCATTGGATTTCATACCCCTGTATGTAGCTAGGCTCCCAAAAAGTCTCTCACATGTGGTACCCCCATACCTGGTAGATGTAGCAGAATGTATTTTGGGGTGTAATTCCACATATACCCATGGCTTGTGTGAGCAATATGTCATTTAAGTGAAAATTTTGTGTACAAAAAAAAACTTGTGAAAAAAAAAAATAAATCTTTCATGGACTCAACATGCCTCTCTCAGCAGATAGCTTAGGGTGTCGACTTTCCAAAAAGGGGTCATTTGGGGGTGTTTGTACTATCCTGGTATTTTAGCACCTCAAGAAATGTGATGGCAGTCAGAAAGTAAAAGCTGTAAATTCCATTATCTATACCATAGTTTGTAGATGATATAACTTTCACACAAAGCAATTAATATGCAGTTATTGAGATTTTTTTTTTTTACCAAAGGCATATAGCAAAAAACATGTTGGCCTAAATTTATGACAAAATTTGAGTTTATTGGATATTTTTTATAACAGAAATGAGAAAATATTGTTTTTTTTATAAAAGATAGAGAATTAAAGTTCTGATTTCCAGAATCCCATCGTTGGGAGTTTGGTTGTATGAGTTTGTTTTTGGAGTAGGTGGTAGAAGGTAGAGAGATGGGAGCTGGAAGGTGTAGAGCTGTTGAAGAGTGTTATGAGGCCCATGGGCTGAGTGTTCTCACACCAGTGCAGGTGAGGTAGCAT